CTCTCCAAACTATTACTCCTCATAAAAACTCATCTCCTTCTTCCTCCACATTTATAACTTTAGATGGAATAAGCTCATCACCACTACCACAATAAGAAATATCATCCCTCTCATATTGCCATCATTTTTTATCACGACACTCATCTCAAATTCAAGCTTAGTGTCTAGTACTAAACATGAGTATCAATATAATTGCTCGCATACTATACTAACTTATAACTACTAGATAAAATTAAGAAACACTCACCCACTAAGACCTCATGACAAGTAGTCAATCTTTATCTCCAGTCTATCTATTCACAAATTATTGTCACATTCCCTTTTACAACTTAAGTACTATTTACCCTTTCACTATACATTATTACCGAATTAGCTCTATAAGCCTCTGAATACCACAAGGCTCTCTCTTAAAAAATCATAAGCCCATCTTAGATCTACCATCTCATAAATACTCTACTAATTTATTCAACACATATATTTAGTTGTTACTAATGCATTGACACATCATCATAAACCCCCTTCATGGTTAAAGTACACTCTAATTCATCCTAACTAGTAACTATTCTTCTACCTTCTATCATAAAACTCACATAAAATTAGCTAAAGACTGAATGTCCAGAGCTAAAGGTCACTCCATAGTAGATATGAAGGCTAGACTACCCATACTCACTGCCTTCCGGCTCAAGGCACCACCCACTAGCACATTCACCTTGCCCGTATAATAGAGAATAGAGAGATCATAGTCCTTTGGAAGCTTAATCCAACATTGCTTACTTGAATTGAGGTTCTTCTAGCTCATAATATAATGAAGAATCATATGATCAGTGCAGATTTCACAACGAACTCTATACATGTAGTGCCTTTGGATCTTAGGCGCAAAAACTAACGCTGATAACTCCAACTCATGAGTGGGGTAGATGTGGTCATGCAAATTAAGCTGCCTCGATGCATAAACACTAACTTGGTCACACTGCATCAATAAACAATCCAAACCAATGGTGGATGCGTCATAATACACTGTGAAGCCCTCACTCTCAACTGAAAGAGTCAATATAAGAGTAGTAGTCAGCAACTTCTTATGCTTCGAAAGCTCAACTCACACTCCTCAGAATACTCAAAAGGAACATCAAGGTGAGTCAAATGGGTCAGATATGTTGCAATAGTTAAGAAACCCTCCACAAACCATCTATAGTAGCCTACTAATCGTATGAAGCTCCAAACGTTAGTAACCAAAGTGGCCTAGCCCAATCAAAAATAGCCGCAATCTTCACCGAATCTACCATGATTCCATCCTTGGACACAACGTTCCCTAAGAATTCTATAAACTCAAACCAAAACTCACATTTTGAGAACTTGACATAAAGTCGGTTATCTCTTAAAGTCTGGAGCACAATCCTCAAATGCTTCTCATGATCACTCATGCTCCGTGAGTATACTAGAATGTCATCTATGAACATAATAATAGAAAAATAAAGATAAGACTTGCATAGCCACATCATCAAGTTCATCAAGGTTATAAGGTCATTAGTCAACTCAAAAGACATCACCGAGAACTCGTAAGGAATATATCGAGTCCTAAATGCAGTCTTTGATATATCTACTACCCTAGTCCTAAGGTGATGGTAACTGAACCTCAAATAAATCTTTGAAAACACTACGTCATCCTGAAGCTGGTCAAACAAATCATTAATCCTAGGCATGAGGTAACAGTTCTTCACCATCACCTTATTCAGCTGTCTATAATCAATCCATATGTGCATCATACCATTCTTCTTCTTCACAAAGAGAATAGGAGCACCCCAAGGTGATACACTAGGTTTGATGAACCCCTTACCCAAGGGATACTGACGCTAAACATTGAGCTCTTAAGCTCTGCAAGAGCCATATGATATGGTAAAATAGAAATTGGTCGAGTACCTGACTCAAGCTTGATAGGGAAATCAATATTACGCTCTGGGGTAAGCAAGGTAGGTTGGTATGAAACACATCTACAAAGTCACAAACGACTGGAACTGACTTTACTTGATCAACCTCCTTATTCATATCACGTACATATGCCAAATAAGACAAGCATCTGTTAGCCACTAGCCTCTAAGCTTGAATAAAAGAGATAACTCCAACCGTTGTGATACTAAAGGAGCCCTGCCACACGACTGAGGGAATACAAGGTTTGGCTAAGGTAACTGTCTTAGAAAAGCAATCTAAAACTGCAATGTAGGGGTATAACCAATACATTTACATAATCACATCGAAGTCAAGAATATGAAGTAGTATAAGGTCAACCCGGGTGTCACACCCGCAGATAGTAACTAAGAAAGATTGAAACACCTGATCCACTACTAAAGACTCATCCACAAGGTCAACACATGCAACAACACTTCCATAGGCTCAAAACTCATACCCATATGAGAAATATAATAAGCGCACATATAAGAATAGGTAGACCTTAGATCAAATAAATCCAAGTCAGAATGATGGCATAAAAGAACCATCCATGTGATCACATCATCTAATGCCGCAACCTCCGCCCTCGTTGGAGCTGCATAGAAATAACCATATCCACCTCTGCCCTAGCCATCTATCTCATCACTTACTTACCTCCCCGAGGACCACCCTAAATACCTTGATGTCCGCCGTGATGGTCCTTGCCCTGATCTCGACCCTAGTTGGAGGTGTCGTTGGTGGGGTTGGAGGAGCGATGAAGCTGCCTATGGAGCGGGAGTAATCCCCCTATGCATGGGACAATCTCTAGACCAGCGGTCAATCTTCCCACAATCAAAGCAACCCAGAAATGATCGACTCCTAGAAGAACGATCGCCACGACCTGAAGCATAAGACTTGAACCTATGACTCTAACTAGATCCAACCTCACTCCAGCTATATCGATCACCCTCTGAAGCATGTAATAAGGCATGAACTGACCGACTGGACGGAACTTGTAAAAGCCGATGCTTGGGCCTATCATATGATTTCTTTTGCTTGGAACATGACATGCTATAGCTACCGGGGTCCTGCGAACGTGGCCTTGCGCCCACTATCGCGGCCAATAGGTGGCATGACCTTTGCTAACGTGACCAAGGCCCGCGAGTGCGCAAGCTATTTCAGCTTGCACCTGCTATTGAGATTGTCAAAATTGGATTCTGAGGTCATCGTCTTAACTCTTTGATAAAAAAAAAGGGAAAACGGACAAATATACCCCTAAACTTTTGAAAATGGTACACAAATACCCTTCATCATACTTTCCAGACATTGGTACCCCTTTCGTCCAAATATCAGAGCATTTTTTCCCTTCACTCTAACGGAAGAATAATTAGGAACCCGTGGCGCAATCCTACGGCTCAACCCGGCTTAATAAATTAATTATTCCAAAATTCAAATACCCACCCAACTACCTGTTTAACCCACCCGGTACACCCATTACACACACTAATACTAACCTATCTAGAAACCTAAAAAGATCTTTTTGTGAAATCTGCCGCCGTTGTGAAGCCAACGAAGGCACCGATACCGACAACAAAGAAGAAATCCACCTCCTCCTCAACCATAGTATCTCTGTCGCATAGCCGAAAGCAACAACCCCGAAGAAGAAGGTTGTAGTGAAGAAAGCCAAATCCGCAGCAGCAGCAACACCAACACCAGCAAAGAAAGCGAAGAAGACGGTGACTGCTCCGGCTAAAGCAAAGCGGTGAAGAAAGTTGGGAAGAAGCTGAAAACTATTAGGTCTCCGGCAAAGAAAGTGAAGAAATGAAGAAATTAATCTGAATTGGGTGTTTGAATCTGTAAATTACTTTTACATTTCTCTAGTGATGATATCAAATCCACCATTTTTTCTTCATGGGTTTTTCATTTTTCTTCTTCCCCTTCCCCTTACGTTTGCAGATTTTACTCGTTCTCCATTGTTAGGGTTTGTTTGTTTTAGGAGTATGACTTGTGCTCTATCATTTTCATTGAATAGTAACAGATTTGGATGAAGAAATGATGAATTAAGCCAAAATTTTAGGGGCTTTTTCTTTAGGATTTTAGAGAGTTTATTTGTGGGTAAATTGGGTAGGTTAAATGGGTTATGGACGGGTTTTGAAATTTGGGTTAAAAAATTGGTCAATCCGGATTGTGATGTAGGATTACGCCATGTGTACACAATGGTGTTCCGTTAGTGGGAGGGGCAAATATGCACTGATTATTGGACGACAAGGGCTCTGATTGGATGAAAAGTATGACGAAGGGTATTGAGATACCATTTTCAAAAGCTTGGGGTATATTTTTCCTTTTTCTCAAAAACAAATGACCGTTCAAGGTTCAATAACTCCAATATACTAAAACTTGCATAAAAACCAAACAAATGACCAGGTGAACGAACTGTCAGTTCTTGCAAGTTATAAATGACTTGGGTCGCTATAGGAACGCTCTAAACGAGACATGATTACATAAATGACCTGGAGGTCATTACAAAAACAAGCGGGGCTTTTTTTACATTTTTGAGGAAAAAAGTGACACTTATGACTCTGCACTCTTGTAAAAAGGTCGGGAATAGCTAAGAGATGCCAATATTTGAAAATACAAACTTTGTAACTAGATTTTGAATTTTTGGTTGTTTTGTGTGTGAGTACCGTTCCTAGTTAGCATTGATACAAGTTTAAGATCCAATTTTATTCCTTCCTTACAGAAGAAGAGAGTGGTACAGAAATTAAGTGAGTATTATATTATTGATGAGACTTTAACTGATATTCTTGTACACTCACTACAACAATACCTTACTTTTACTTTACTTTATTGGGGTTGGAAATAAAGGAAATTCCATCATTAACTAGTACTAATAAACTGAGTAGTGGAATAAGGAATAAGAGAATGCATACGTGATTGTTAAGACAGGAATATAAATAAATATAGTAGTATTTTTATGTTAGCAGTGCAATTCGAAGACATAAAAGGGAGAGACAAGCTCAGGATAATCAACAATTTGGGTCTCTGGATGGAAAGGACTTCCATTTCTTAGTAAGTTCACAACTATCTCTCTAGATAATGTAAATGTCATCTTCAAGTTTATGGATTTTCATTTTCACAACAACATCAATAATATAGATCTAGTAATAGTATTTAGGGCAAATGTCATTGGGTTTTCGTTAACACAAATATATGTTGTTCTGCCCCTTGCAGCACATCCACAACTAGAAAATCTAGGTTTATAAACTTGAATGTATAAACAGAGGCAGATTTTAGTGTGAACACAAGTTATACTCAATAATTTTGGCTCATATTTCTTGATGCACAAGTTGTTTATATGTAATTAATCACAAATCCAATTCTTTTGGAATTGTTGATTTCTTGCTAGTTGATATGGAGGACTTATGCTCCAGATTTCAATTCTCTCGCTTGTTCTGTTTTCATTCATCTTGAGCTTAGAAGAGCTTTATACTATGGAGTTTGAAAATAAATAATGGAGAAATTCTAGAATGATCCAAGCTTTGTTCGTAAAAAGATATCGGGTGGAGGTGAAATAGTACTTTGACATTGCAGTAGCAGCAAGAAGCACCCGATTTGTGCGAGATCTAATGAAAGTGATGGAAGTAGCTGGTGACTAACAAATATGAGAATACGACAGCAAAGTGCTAAAGCAATGAGGGAAAGGAATCACTTTGACAGCTATGAATGGGTATAAAGCTATAGTATCATACCTTTTTGAGGTCACAAGTCTTCATGTGGTACAGACCTACCTTCTTCACACCATTATACAGAATGAGATGTATGGTAAGCTATTTAAAAATATGGTGTATTTTACATTCTCAAAGTCCATCGTATACCATTTTTTTGTATGTATTAAAGATCTCATCAGATACACACAAACTCACTTCCTTTTTCTGTTTTTTCTTAACCAACTAGTGATGTATATGTTGTTTATTTGTATTATTGCTTTTCAATACCTACATATATGTTCTTCTATCACTACATTAATTCGAGTTTTTTCTTGCAGTGATGGCATAACATTTATTCAACAAAGACAGGAAAATTAGCCAGTAAAATGTTACAAGGAAATATTCATGTCTTACACATGTTATCACAAAAGTCGAGGAAAAATTGAAGAGATTCATTGAAGGAGCTTATTCTCCAACGTGGAGAAAGTTATTTAGCCTGGCCAGGAGGTAAGATCTACTGGATCTTAACTAAGTAGATATTTCTTTAATTTGAGATAATTACTTGACTGGAAACAACTAACTCATTGAAGGATTAGTTTCTACAAACTTGATTTATCCTTCGATGTAGCTAGGTCAAATATTGATTAAAGGAATGAATGTTAACAAATTGATTATGTAACTCAAGATTAAATATTTGTCCGCCTAGAAAATTCAAGTGTCGTGTGTTTTAAACCTTTTGTATCAATGTAAGTTGTAATAATATGAATGTCTCCATCCGTTGTCATTATTTTGAATGAAGACAAGCTTGATGTGTACCAGCCAAAACCTATTTGTAGTGCTAAAATTGCTTCGAACTTCAGGGGTACTCCCAGCAAAATATGTACTGGAGAAACACGTCAGTCTATTACTTGAGGAGCTTTGGGCGGAATGTCAAAGAAGTGCAGAGGATAAGCTATTGGAACTATTGGAAAAGGAAAGCTTTGCTCTATTCTGCTGCAAAAGCAGGAAATATAGAGCTTTTAGTTATGGTTATTCACAGTCATCCTGAACTCATATGGCAACCTGACTATCAAAACTGGACCATTTTCCATGTTGCGGTTTTATATCGAGAGGAAAAAGTCTTCAGTCTTATACACCAAATAGGAGGAATGTAAAACTTTCTTCTTCAAATATATGATAATGATGGCAATACCATTCTACATTTAGCTGGGAGGTAGGGCAGGGCAGCCACTCCGTCAGCAGAAAACTGGACAGATGCTGATAATAATGATGTATTCGTTGAATCACAACAACAGTTGTTTCAAGAGATTAGACAGTCTGTTAAAGTATTTCCTCTCTTTTTAAACTATACATGTTGCTTCATTCCAATTTAACACAGATACAAGAAATATTGTATAATCAAAAAGTCCCGTTGTTTGGATTAATCACCATTGCTTAAATAATGAGCTGACCAACAGGAGGAAGAGAAGATTATGCCGCCATCATTTCTCAAGGTTTCTGGAGCAGCACTTCAAATGCAAAGAGAGATATTGTGGTTCACGGTGAGAAATTACCTAAAAGTAAATTTTCCAATCGGAAACACATCTTGTTGCATTTATATATTTTAAGAGTGAATTAAAGACGTACATTTTTAGCGTTTTCTATAATGGGCAGAGTTATGGCTTTTAAAATTTTTGTGTTGCTGCGGAATGATTAGTTACTAATTTTCTAGCGAGAAACTTGCATCTTCACTCCACAAGGTGAGAAACAACGATGGGAGAACCCCTAGGGAATTATTCATAGAAGAGCACAAGCTATTACTAAAAGAAGGGAAAAGGTGGATGAAAGATACTGTGAATTCTTGTATGATTGTTGCAACTTTGTTTACCACGATGTTGTTTGTTGCTACTGTCTATTCTGACATCTCTCTATGCTGAAGACGATTTTCTTGTGTCATTGTCATATAGAGATGTCAGAATGGACAAGAACATAATGATGGAAACGATTGAGCTAAATAATGCCACTGCATCTGATATGACAAAGACCGTAAATCCATTCAGTTTTAGCAATATTGGAATACCATTATCTGGCACAGGAAGCCAGCAACAAACACCATCGTGGCAGTCAAAGTTGCAACAATCATACAAGAATTCACAGCGTCTTTCATCCACCTTTCCCCTTCTTTTAGTAATAGCTTGTGCTCTTCTGTGAATAATTCCTTAGGGGTTTTCCCATCGTTGTTTCTCAGCTTGTGGTATATAGGTGGTACAATTTTCTCCACTTCCTAGACAGTTAGTAATTATCATTCTGCAGCAACAACATTTTTAAAAGACATAACCCTTCCCTTTAAAGAAAACGCTGAAAATTGTATCTCTTTAATTCATACTTAAAAAGCTAAATGACAGATATTTAAATGCAACAAGATGTGTTTCCAACTGCGAAATTTACTTTTAGGTAATCTTCTCACCGTGAACCACAATATCTCTTTTTGCATTTGAAGTGCTGCTCCAGAAACCCTGAGAAATGATGGCGGCATAATCTTCTCTTCCTTTTGTTGGTCAGCTCATTATTTAAACATTGATGATTAATCCAAACAACGGAACTTTTTGATTATACAATATTTCCTGTACCTGTGTTAAATTGGAACGAAGCAACATGTATAGTTTATAAAGAGAGAGGAAATACCTTAACAGACTGTCTAATATCTTGAAACAGCTGTTGTAGTACAACATTATTATCAGCATCAGGAGGCACATACTGGAAAAGTTTGTTTTTCTGTTTAAGGATTGGCTGCCCTAACTTCCCAGCCAAATGTAGAATGTTGTTGCCATCAGTACCAATTATTTGAATAAATAAGTTTTAAATTGCTCATATATGGTGTATAATCTTACCATACATCTCATTCTTGATAGTAGCCTTAAAAAGGTCTTAGCGTTTTTCTTGCTGTATCACATCAAGACTTGTGACCTCAAAAAGGTATGATACCACAGCTTTATGCCCAAACAAAGCTGCCATAGAAATTGGTAATATTCCACCGTCACACGGGATGTTTGGTAGATTCTTATCTCTTACCCTCAGTTCTTTAACAATTTCAATAAGGATTTGCTTAGTGTAGAAATTCCTCCTGCTTTCCCACTAGAATTTCTTCACTATTTGCTTAGTGTACCAATTCCAACGTGTTAGCTTCCATAGTATCATAAAGCTCAAGATGGAGCTGAACCTGTGAATGAAAGCAGAACAAGCTCGACAGAGAAGTGAAATCTGGAGCAAAAGTCTTCCATAGCAATCAGCTTCCAGAAGAAATGGATTTGTGTTCTGATTAATCATATCATATCATCATCATATTACCCTTTAACTGAAAGTTAAGTCACTACTCTCTCTCCTTTTTACCGGAAACTCCTCGGTATGCTATATCAGCCCCAACTCCTACAAAAACACCACCCTCACAGTTCCCTCCGCTTCATTTTTCATACACCAACTACAAACGTAAATTGTGCAATCTCTGACTACAAAGTGTAGAATCAAACTAGGATAAACATAGTACTTTCAAAGATTTCCCTAGGCATCTTCATTATACTACCATCTTTGAATTTTACACACCCATAAACTATTATTTATCCTGCGTACCCATACTATCATCTTCGACATTCAGAGTCCCGTACAATTGCACAACAACTACTACTGCATATCCTTCTCATCACCAACTCTGAATTTTAATAAAGGTTCTACCCACTGCTTTTGAGGCATTACGATCTTGGACTTTTAAAGCAATGATATTCTGGCGTGATATTGGGTATTGCTGTGATACAGTTGCTGTTTAATCCTTGCTTGCCGCAGCGAGAGCTGAACAAATGTCAATTCTAGTATGTACGTTATAATCTTTAGCTTGTAGTTCATAGGAATGATCATATAAAATTTTCAGATGTGATCTCACTCCTTGTATTAGATTGCTGGTTAGACAACAATGCCATCAATTTTGAGATTAACAACTCATTTATTTTAAATTTGAGCGGAATTACGATTCCAATTCCTTCAGAATAAATTCTCCTTCAAACTTGGAAATTAACTACAAATATGTTTCTTACCCAAATTAGTTTTTGGAAGAGGCTCTTGGTATCACAGCTTCAACCTTCATCACAGTTTCGGTAAGAAATGGTAACCAAGCAAAACAATGCGTCCAAATTAGCAAGCTTAAAAATATCCCATTTGATCGGTTTAAATTTGTCATTCATTTCTGTGTTTACTATCTTATTTACTAAAATGAAAATAAAAATAAATATAAGTAATCATATATTATTTACATACAAGTAATTTAAATAAAGATTGCTAAAATATTATTACTTTGAATGAAAGATTTTGATTGTGTTACTTTATCATCTATCTAACACAGTGTTGCCAACACATACATATATTGTTCATTTTCATCCTTTTTGTTTCATTTTTTATTTTTCTACAATTTTTACAATATGAGATTTAACAATTTAATTTTCAAATAAAAATGAGAGTTACATTTACATTTATGCGACACTAAGCCTAATTGTTTTCTTAAACATAAGCATTCTATATTGACAATAGCTTTCCGTAGTGTTAAATTCAAATGGTTGGTATGATGACAATTTTGCTTTTGGACATTTTGGTTGTTTCTTTATGAATTCCTTCCACCCTTAATTGTTACTACTAAAAACTATTCTTCAAATTAAAATCGTATAAAAAATATTATGAGAATGGAGTAATTAGGCTTCATTTTATTTAGATTTTAGTAATATAAGTCAACAAGATCATCATCATATATCATATATTATTAAAAATGGGAAGCTTCAAAGTGTAAAGTTGGATAGTAGTTTGAAACCGACTTCGGCTTGGGCCGTGTTCTCTAAAACCCGGTTATATTTTACTCCTACACTATATAAAAATATTATAAATTATATATATTAATTAATTTATTAAATTTATTCATCCAACTCAAAATTTAATTTTTTTATTTGTCAATTACTATGAGTTATGTCTCTTCAATGGTTCAATCCCTTTTTTCAGCAACCATACAACTTCAGCTATCTAAACCGTATATTATTTTCTGTTTTCAAAGCACTTTGTTAGTTTTTCATAGTAAATTAAATATTTTCAGTTTTCTAATCATTTAACTAATTGAATGGTATAACTGATGCATAGACTCTCTTCAGTTTTGAAATATGAATAGTTTTTTTTTTACTCCTACACTAAATAAAAATATTATAAATTATATATATTAATTAATTATTAATTATTCATCCAACTCAAAATTTAATTTTTTTATTTGTCTTATATATATTGTAAATTAATTATCAATGTTTACTTCTAATCCTTTTTATAGTTTTCTCTTGTATTTGCTTTGCCTTTGTGTTTGCTAATTACTAATTTAATTAATTTCTTTGCTTCAGATCTTATCTTGCAAATGTGAACTCTTCCCTTCTCCATCGCATCATCAGGTACAAAATGGATATAATAGTCATATCATTGGAATTATGCTTAGTCATGAAGAAGGTAAAGATACATTAGGCCAATTCACTAGGAATTTTTTCAGTTTGTTAAGATATGTCTCACTAGGAAATATAGAGAATTTGTATTGTTTGAGATCCATAAATTAGTAGTAAATACTAGAATGAAATGGGTCCAAATAGAGCGAAATGAATTGTGAGAATGCATATGCCGACTCTAAGAAGCATGTAATTGAGGTATATTTGTAATGGGGTTAAAAAGAGTAATAGAAGTAGATGGATCATTGTAGCTGATAAGTAACTGCTAACTTATAAATAAGACACAAACTTTAAGATATGAGACATTTACAAACATAATCAACGTTACTTATGTTTACCTATAAACTATATGTCATTGAAATATTAAAAAAAAAGAAAAGGAAAGTGTCACACTGAGTATAAGATATATGAGAACTACATAAGAAAAAACGTTATACTAATTTAATTGATTGTGTATAGCTACAAACAATTACTCTTTCCTAAATTTAGTAACTTATTACTTACATGTTTTAGCATCATCTATATCATTTTTAAAAATTGTACTTACTAGCACGGGACACACGTGTTCAGAAACTAGTTCTATTAAAAGTGGAAAGAGTCTAAGTTAAAAGTTGAATTACTAAAACGTCCTTTAAAAATATTTTTATCATTTATTTTTTTTATAAAAATTAATTTGTCTATTAAATTTAATTGGAAAGACCTTTCATCTGCCTTTAGACCTGTACAAATTCTATGAACTTTTTATTTACAAGTTTAATATGTGTCATGTATTTATTTTCTTCACCTTTAGCTTCCAACCGTTTAAACATATCATACTATTTATCAAATTATATATGCCCTATTCAATATCTAAGTGACTGTCATATTTCAACTATCGAACAAACTATCCCCTGGAATCTGACCATGTGGATATCAAGCTTTTAAATCCAAAAGCTCTAGAAAAATATAATCGAAAATAGAATTATCTCCATTTTAGGCTTGTCCAAATCGCTGCTAAACCTCTCTCTAGGGAAGTTCTAGATACCTCTCTTCTCCTCTGTCTAAGGGACTCGAGGTTCTTAGACTTCAATGATTCCCTCTCAGGACTGGTAGAAACCAATCTTCTTTGCAGTGGTCCTATCTACTTTGATTGTTTTTCAAATTTTACCGCTTCTCTCAAAGATATAAGTATTATGGATTCTTTAACACTAAATGTTAAGACAATATCCAATTACAAAAGAAAAATCGGATCCCTCCCTGTAGTAATCATTTATAGAATCCAATATAAAGCAATGAGTTCCGCTTTCAACACCAGAGCTATGAGAAGTAGCTATAATGGTGAAACTGTCTTTCCAAAATAGATCTACAACGATCTCATCTATCGGTGCCCAAACCTATTCCTTGGATTCAAGTTTCGTTGCCCTGATAAACGCTCAACTAAACCTCATCCAATACTAGATGTGCGCGATCGTAATCTAGTATAAATGTAACGACCTGTTTCGGTCGTTATAGAAAAGCCAATGGGGGAAGATTTGGGGCCAGAAAACTTTTTCGTAGTATTGGGATTTTTCCAAACTTGTCCATATTTGGACGAAATCGGAGTCCTTGAAGTGTGGGGAAATATGGTAACAATCGGGTGAGTTGTTTTTTTATTTTGATTATATGAGTAGTTAGATAACTCGTTAACGAACCTGTGCGACTTTACGAAATTGAATTCGGGCGAGTAGAACTCCCGGAATCGATCTTAGCGTAAAGGGTATTTTCTGATCGTCGTGGGTTAGAGGTGTGTTGTGAAATGAGATTTTGGAATTACTTCAATTGACTCTCTGGTTCCGTTTGTGCCGCCTTGGTGGGAGTTTTGTAGTTCTGGTTGGGCCACTACAGCTGAATGATGGCCGCTGTGGCGGGTACAATGAAGCTCAAAATCGTAGGTGAAAGATGAAGGGCTCACTGTTAAGCGGAAGCCGCTGGGGTGGAGTTTGTGGTCGCCTTGGCGGGGCCGCTATAGCGGGATGAGGACCGCTGCAGCAGGTTCGATGTGACTTAAACTAGTTAATAAACCCCTAAATGACCTCATTATGCACTTTTTGACTTTTTGAGCTAAGGAACGACCCCCAGGTGACTCCTACTCATTTTTCACCATTCTTGAGGCTAAAGGTAAGCTTTTCACTCCCCGGATCCATTTTTTGATCTGTAGAACGTAATAGAATGGGTGAATATTGATGGGGGAGGATTTTGTTATAGATTCTATGGTGGAAACTGATGTTTGCGTAATCAACGACACAACTTCCGATGCAAGTGTCTACGATCGTGCAAATAGTATAATAACCCAACCAAGGGTTGGGTCAAGTCCCAAGGGAGTGGTTTTGAGAATTAATAGAAAATAAAATTAGTTCTAACTAGTCGTAGCTAAAGACATTAACGACTAAAAATATTGTAAATTAAAGGAGGGTGACACAAAAGTGTCAAATATCAAATGGGGGTTTTGTCACAAGTATAGCTAAAATAGTAAAAATGACAGAGAAATCTATGAATGAGAGGCGATTCTTGGGGTGTGACCGCAATATATATTGATTTAAATCGTTGGGTACATGCTTTCGATAGGAGGTTTGCAAGATAATAGTGACTAAGCTAAGCTTTAGATGGAAATAAGTTCCCTCTCAGGAAACTTACACCGTTTCAAATAGATTCCTCTCGGACACCCATTTGCCGCATTAAGGCCAGAGCGATTCTTGGGGTGTGACCGCAATATATATTGATTTAAATCGTTGGGTACATGCTTTCGATAGGAGGTTTGCAAGATAATAGTGACTAAGCTAAGCTTTAGATGGAAATAGTTCCCTCTCAGGAAACTTACACCGTTTCAAATAGATTCCTCTCGGACACCCATTTGCCGCATTAAGGCCAGCCTACGCCTTACCCCACTCACTCTCTCGAGCTGAGTGTTAGGATATTGGACTAGGGCTCACCCTCTCGAGCTGAACCTCATGTTGACCCACTTCTTAGGCCATCAGTCTAGCGGTCTTGGTTTCACGACCTCTCTCTCGAGCAAGCCGAAAACACATGGGTAGTTTTGTATTTGCAAATACAAACCCATTAAATTAAACCACAACCACTAGGTGAAATCACCATCAAATACATCTAACCTATCAGCAAGCAAAACCCAACAATAATCTCAACACATATTTGCTAAATCACACCCCAAGAATGGGGGTTTCTAGCCACACATCAAGAGATAGAAATTTATACCTAAATGAGCTTGCATTCAAATGAGTATGAAAAATTAAGTCTTGTTACAGGCCAAGAATGAAGAATCCGAGAGACCCAAGTCCAAATCCTTGGAGATGAAACCCTCTTCTTCTTCAAGTTTCAAAATCCTCTCAAACTCAGAGAAAAAATACTAAAGTTATATTAATTGTTTCTCACTAAAAATAATATGATACTAAAATCTGATACTAAGCTATAACTCTCAACGAGTATTTATAGTTTTCAAAATTTTGTGCTGCGACGGATCATTCAACAACATTAATCGGAATCGCCGAGTT